AAAAAATGAAGTTTGAGTTCCTGTTTCACCATGACAACACAAGTTTGAATAGATAAAATAGTTCCAGTAATTGAGCTCAAAAACTCTTTCATGTGCATCTTTGCGGAAAGTAGAAAGATCCTGCTAAATACACACCCAATATTGTACATTCTTATATAAATTTAATGTCAGCATGAAAAAAATCTCTTGCTGAGGTAATTTTTCCCATTTTAGGGCTTGGAAGGTAAAACCCGAGTTTTGAACAAACTAACCAATCGTTTTATATGAAGTTTATTAGATGAGTTTATTACAAATATCGTAGACGATGAAAATAGCTTGCATCAGACTCAGTAAATATTTTCTCAAACCATTATTATCCTGGATTGATAAGAACAGCAATAAAAATTGACCATTGTATACGAAGCCTCTTGGCTGTAAAATGAAAATTGCTGCTGAAATTTGTTTTTGTTGTCACTGGCAGTAATCGGATTTCTTGAAGAGTTAAGAAAGAAAATTATTAATTCAAGTCAAAGACAGACTTTTCAAAACATCCTGTTGAATTTATGGAATCTTTTCTTTATCCTAAGACAAATACGATATGTTTATAGGAAAACATGAGTTTAATAACATTTGGACGGCTAATATAGCAAAGCATATGCTAACTATATATGCCGCCGAGTGAAGAAGCCTTTTTTGGGTCTTTTTAAAAGGCTTACGATAGTTTGATGGTCAGATTTAACAACAGTCAAGTTTGTATTTAAGGTTTAAGGCTTCTTACATTTATAAAAGGCTAAATAACACTTTCTTAAAAGCTCAAGACATTTTTCAGTCGTACTTTGAAAAGTCATTCATAACTAAGTATTGRAGGACAACATACACGACAGTAAATATGTAATACAGTAATCTAGTTCATCTTGAAGTAAAGTAAATTCAAATTTCCAGTCATTAAACMCCCCTTACCTTAAGAAGTTCCGTAATCAGTTCCTTCCAGACGAGACCCAGTAAGGTTACAATTCCCGAGGTATTGGGGTTTGTTCCTTAAGTATCGGTTGTGTTAGCATATGACAAATACAGAGTCATTCAAAATTTGTTTCCGGAATTTTAGGGAAGAAAAACTGGCTCTGAATGCTATCTACTAATCGAGAAAATATATTGATTGTCATCGAGATTGGAAAACATAGACCAGGTGATAAGAACTTGCTTTCTATTCGTGAAGAAACAGGTTTAACTGGTTTGCAATCCTGTATACTTAAGGAAGTCATAATCAAACATTCATTAAATGGAAATAGAAATATCTTATTTATGAACGTTTGTCGACAAAAATAGAATTCTAGAAGTAATAACTTGAGATGAACCATTTGGCTAAAATACATGGACTCCAAATGAAACAATTGATTTTTTGATATAATTATAAGGTCTTGTCTTTTTCTCTTTTTCGCTGAAGTTTAATTCTGAAGATAAAACTTCAGT